TGTAATAAAATTGCATATACAACGCGCCGTCGTAAATAAATTGTAACTTTAAAATATTATTATTGAATACCTATTTAGTATGTTGGTATTAATTAAGTTACTGTTTTTTAATTTACATATAGATTTTATGAAATTCATAGATAACATCATTGTACAGTGTTTGATTTTGTAATAAAAAAACTTTTTTTGAAAGAGAATCATTGGAATACGTACTTAGTTTAGTCACGATATTAATTAAATCTTTATGATATTAAAAACTCTAGTAATATTCATTACAAATTAATTTGATAGAAAATTTAAATTTATATTACATTTACTCCGAAACTATAATTAGTGAAGAACATAATATAGGTAATACATTTTCATTGCAACATTATATAATATGTATAATTATTACTAGGTATTCAATGTATTATAATATGCATATTATGTTTGTGCACAATGAATTCGGATGTTATCATGAACGTTAATTATTCCGATGGTAATTTGATGACTTTTACTGTGGATAACGATTAATTATTTTTTAGGTTGTTGTTGCCAACATTATAGCACATGGTAATAATACAAAAAAATTATGGAATGTATATATTACGTATTCCTTTGAAACGTCATATTTATAGTATAATGCGTATCTCGTTAATTTTTCTGTTACCTACCTCACATTATTATTATATCATTACCTATGTAGTTGGTAGTGTTTTTACCATTGTACTGGATTAAGGGGGGGGGGGTCAGGGGGGTTATTTCTAGACACCAAATCGTGTTTAGTATTTACTATATTAATGTATTTTGGGGGACGAGGTGGCCGAGCGGTCGAACACGTCGTCTGCGGTGCTGGCGGTCGCGGGTTCGATTCTCTCGACCACTGGGCGGCATTTTTCTCCGGGCAAGTCACGGTGTCCGGAGAACAAGTGCCGCCATCCCCCACTCCGGGGCATGGCAGAAACCTACGGGTGCCCCAATAGAAATTCTGCCAAACACAACACACACGTGTAATAACCCTACAATTTCAAACCCTACTACCTACAATCATAAACCCTACAATCAAGCTAATGGCCATAGTCGCCGGGCTTTAAAAAGATCAATTAAAAAAAAAAAAAATTAATGTATTTTCAGTTTTGTAAATAAAGTAAAAAATAATCAGTTGAAAGGTTAGCCTGCTTTTACACCACTGAAATTCCGCTAGGTATGTCGAGTTCATGCGATTTCTATCCGATTCATATTCTATCGTGCTGTAGCTGTTCTGTATGCGGGCCGCACTTGATGCACAAAGCTCCCCACAGCTTATATTGTCACTAAAAGTAGGTATTTTGCACCTAGTGAGCCACTCATCTGTGGGCGTGCCTGTGACTGACTGAGCTATCAACGCACAGCTGAAACTAGAGAGCCTAGATATTATTATCTAGGCTCTCTAGCTGAAACCATTTGACGGATCGGACTGAAATTAGGCATACAGATAGCTATTATGATGTAGGCGTCCGCTAAGAAAGGATATTTGTAAATTTTGGAAAGAACTCAAACAATAAATTACAAAAAAAGGAAAAATCAATTAATGTAGGAAAACTAACATTTATACTAGAAGTAAAATCACAATTTTTTTTTAATAATATAGATAACAATATTTGTTGCCGAGATTAATTTATTTGTATTTTGGATTTCCTATATTATGTTTGTTTAATGGTATATAATATAAAAATGTGTAAATACTGTAAATGGTAATACAGTTTAAATACAATTATTTAGGTTAATTAATATACTATAACTTATAACTATATAATATCGAAGGATATATTTGATAAGAAATTAATATGATAAATTATAAAATTTTAATGAAAATGTTTATCACTATACTCACCAGCCCTGCCTATAATGTAAGGCTATTATACCTACTATTAATATTAATTCTTATCGTGAATTGGCTACAAACATAATAATATAAGAGTTTATAAATAATTATTATTTATTCATATTTTATATTATAAAAAAAATACTATGCTGGCCATATAATAATATAATGTCTGTTATTAATTTCCATATAACCGATACAAGAAACCAACATAATATTCAATTTGTTTATTTCTTATTAATGTTTATATTTCAATTTCGTTCAAAAAAAAACATTTAAATTATATACTTCACAGTTTTAACTTTTAACTTTTATGCGAATAATATTAAATTTTTTCGATTGCCGTTTTTAATTTGTAATTTGTTTAATTTTTCCAAAATTATTTTTAACTTTAATTACTTTCTTTAAGTTCGTGGAAAACTAGTTGTTCTTTTTATTTTCAATATTTAAACCTTTACACAGTTTTATATACATATAGGTGCACACATCAACATCATTGAATGCAATTTTAAATGAACAAAAGCTATTATTTATCAGAACACGGATCCTAAATAGTATTGTATGTACCTCGATGTTTCATAGCTATTGGACAATATGGAAAAGTTAATGAGTCCACTTGATAGTGAGAAATTATTTAAACTCAGCCAAATTAAACTTGGTACCCATAAACAGGATATAAACCAAGTAAATAAGACAATTTTCTGTATTTTGTAAATACATATATATAATATTACAGTGGTGTATCCAGGGGAGGGGCTGAAGAGGCTGAAGCCCCCCCGAAATGTTAAGAAAATAAAAAAATTATTTAAATGGTGTATGATAGTATCTCAAAAACTCTTAAATGGTATTTTAAATATTTAAAAATGTATTATAAGTAGGTATTAATACTTTTCAGCTATCTATCAGCTGTGTTATTACGTATTTAATGTGTAAAAGTGTAAAAGTTAGGCTAACCCCCCCCAAAAAAACTCCTGTCTACGCCACTATAATATTATATTAATTGTTTAGTATTTTTTTGTAGTAGCATATAATAATATATAAGTAGGTAGGTGCTATAGATTTACACTTATTAGATAAAGTAGCTAACACTTAGAGCAATGGTCGGTAACTGGTTTGGCCGTGGGGGACCACCGAAGGGAAATAAATAAATGGACACGAAAACTATTTTACTTAAAGTTTTTTTTTTCAAAACCGCCAGACCCCCCCAGAAACTAATTGCCGACCTCTGGCTTAGAGAGTGACCTGTGAAAGTGACGGATAATACAGCAACCAGAGGTTTTCGGTGATTTGGTTTTAGATGAGAACGAAAATTGTCCTCTGTGCATATCGTCCGCATTATTCGTAATGAGTAAAATAATTATTATTGTATTTAATTTTCATATTATGTCGTGCCTAACGTCTTCAGCTCCCTGTCAAACACATAACAGACTATCGCCGGCTGGCCTCACGTACACACGCTATTATCTGACTTTTTACGGCAATTTTTTTTGTATTATTTAAAATATGTTGTTGTGTTTGTAATTTTTTTATAATTATAATATAATATTTTTATAATATATAATTATATAGGTACCTAGTGTTAAAAACGTTCTCATTACCTATAACTTAAACTTAATTAATACGCTGCAGCAGCTCAAATAGCTCTGTCTAATCTAATTATTCACATTATAGTATTTTTATATCATTGCCGATTATTTATTATTACATTATTATAACACAATATTATAGAGCCAAAACGCTATTGCAATATTGCATTTATCTTTTAATCGTTATTTACGTATTTTATATTAATTGTTGGGTCAAAAATTAAAAAATTTAAAATACTACTTACATAATTGCAAGGTTCATCTTTGGACCGAATCCACCCTATATTTTAATTAATAATCTATATTATTCTAATCCATAATTGCATATTATGCTGTGATTAATTTGTTTTTATTTAAATTATACCAATATTGATATACAGCAACTTATTTTATACTACCAGAAACTTCACACAGTAACACTATACACAAATACACAATACACATCAAAACATAAACCCACTTACCCGCTTTATATCCACCACGCACTACACTAGCTAGTTTTGCTAAGGAACCTGTCCACTACCTTTGAACTACTATTATATATTTATTGTGAGGAGTCTTGTGACAGGGTTTGAACGGAAGTCGATGAATAGAGAGGATACTGTTGGTAGTTGGTGTTTAATAGAAAAAGAAATAGAAATAGGACTTAGTATAATCATGTGAATGTTTAATAAAATTAGAGAAATAATAATAATAATAGTAATAATATACCTAGTTATAGTTATAATTTAGTTATTTTTATAGGCATAGATATAGTATTAGGAGTTAGGACAGTGTTGAATTTAAAGAAATATCCAGCTATCATCCTTTAAATAATTTAAAATTACTGTTATTATAATATCAATACGTTTTATTAACTATTCCCAGTCCCGTCACATGGTCATTATAAATTCAGGGAGTAAAAACGGATAACCCTCCTTAAATTGTACTCATTCTCAAATCCCAAACCCAATTTTGACCCACTTTTATACCCTTTTCTCTCTGGGCGAATGTAAGTTCCTACACGAGAGTAGCAGGTAAAAAAAATACACACGTTAGTTCCTACACGGCGGAAAAAGGTACGTATGTAAGTTCCTACACGGTAAAAACCAGGTACCTATGTTAGTTCCTACATGGCGGAAAAAGATACGCATGTAAGTTCCTACACGGTAATATCCAGGTACGTATGTTAGTTCCTACACTGTGGAAAAAATGTGTAAATATGTATATACGATGTATATACGAATAAATACATATATAAATATAATAAATAAATAAATATAAATATAATAAAAATCGTATAATGCATTTTAATTTTTCACGATTAAATATAAAATAATATAAAGAGTAAAAAATCAAAAAAAAATCGCATAACGCATCGTCACAAATAAATATAATATGATGAGTAAAAAATATAATAAAAATCGTATAAATATAATATGATGAGTAAAAAATATAATAAAAATCGTATAATGCATTTTAATTTTTCACGATTAATTATAAAATAATATAAAGAGTAAAAAATCAAAAAAAAATCGCATAACGCATCGTCACAAATAAATATAATATGATGAGTAAATATTTATTTATTATTTTATTTTATGAGGTTTATTTCTATAACTTAATAATTTAACATAATCGTATTGATTTATTTTGCTTGTTCTATAATCTGAAATTTTTTCATTTATAAAATCTTCTTTTTCGGCGTATTTTTTACTGATTTTTGGTTTTGGGTTATTAATTGTAGTTCTTATTTTTATATACGTATTTACTTGAAAAAGTTTGAGAATTTCAATAATTTTAAAAATATTTGGATGTTGGTGATAAAAATTAGAGTTAAAATCTGAATGAAAACTTTCACAAGCGTTTGTCGTATGGACTCTATCAGAACATTGCCGCGCCCACATTTTCGGAGGAAAGATTGATTCATTTGATATATAATTGTCTACCAAATAATCACAAAATTCGGTTATAGCTGCATTTTCAGGTTTGTCTGCCATAAAATATTCTGTAAAACATTCTGCCACTTCCTCTGGATTGAGAAAAGGAAGTCCAAAAATATGTACCAACCATTTTCCTACATCGTCATTTGCAGAATTAAATTGTGGTGCGTAACCTAAATTTTGAATTTTGCGGTACCAAGCTTGGCCCAAATGAAAACGACATCCAAACACCTCTGTTTCCGGAAAAATTTCAAAAACTGCTTGATGCATTGCTATTTCAAAATCTAAAATAATTTTTTTAGGTATTACTCCAGCTATTTTTATTGTTTTCAATAATGCAATATAAGTCTTTTTTTCTTTATTTGGCAATAAACAAAACATTAACGGAATGTACACTCCATTTTTAATGCCATGAATCGTGTATAGTTGCGTATAATATTTATCACTATAGTTAAAAGTACCATCCATATATAAAACATCTAATTCTTTTAACAAATCTATATTTGTTTTACATGAAAAAATAACTATTTCATTTAGCGCATCATTTTCATATAAAAATAACTCACCTCTATTTGTTTTTATGTCTAATAAACTTAATATTTCGTGAACTTCTTTTCTTGATGTTGGCAGTTTGGGGAAACAATGCATCCTTGCATTATGAATATTCCTTGCTATGAGTTTTAAGTCGGGTGCAATCAAATCTCCTTCGTTAGCATAATTTGATACTTCTTTTCGTATTATTTTTGACGGTTTTTCAACTATAGAGTCTACAGCTTTTCTTTTGCAAGCATTGCTTATTTGTTGCCGATTTAAAGTGCTATCACTTGCATGGTTGTGATCAAAACACGATTTATCTGTATTAATTAATTGGGCATTTTGACCCAAAGTATAAACTTTTGCACTACACTTATTTATAACACAACGCCACGTAATTTCATTTTTTTTAGATGTATGATGCTTAAAAAATTTAAAATTATTCAAAACTAGTAGTTGTTTGCCTTTTTCACTCAACATGAATGATACATTCTCGCTCATTGTGAATTTTTATAACTGTATATGATTAGTATAAACGGATATGTACGGACACTCAGATGTTTCGAACAATACTCACAAAACTTTTAAGAGAAATAACTAGATGTACATTTATTTTACTGTGTATAGTTATAAGACTTATAACTAATTTTAAGATTATCAAATCAAAATCAAGTTCTGTATCATTTTTATCGATGATGAAAAGTCATAAATATTTTGTATGTCAAAAATATAGATAATAAGATATTTTATCTTTTTCCTTACGTCGAGTCGGTATAGGGGATAATATTATCAGCTTGTAGCTTGTCGTATTTTCCAGTGATTTCGTATATACATTTATAAGTATTATTTATAAGTATATTTGAATGTAGTTACCTATATTAAATAGCTATACCAGCGTATAAAGTTTCAATAACAAATCTAATTATTATATGCTTATTTGTGAAAATGTGTTATGCGATTTGTATTATATAATATATAATCATCATATATTTATTCGTATATACATATTTACACATATATACACATATAGGTACACTTACATATGTACCTTTTTCCGCCGTGTAGGAACTAACATACGTACCTGGATATTACCGTGTAGGAACTTACATGCGTATCTTTTTTCGCCGTGTAGGAACTAACATAGGTACCTGGTTTTTACCTTGTAGGAACTTACATATGCCCGTGTAGGAACTAACATATGTAATTGTTTACCTGCTACTCTCGTGTAGGAACTTACTATTCCCCTTCTCTCTTACCCGTAAATAATTGTACCCGATTTCGGACGCGAAATCCACAAACAATTGAACCCGGTTTTGAACGCAAAACCCATAACCCGAGCGCGATTTGGCCCACTTTTGTACACCATAAACGCCCTACCCTCAAATAATTGTACCCGGTTTCGGACGCGAAACCCGCAAACAATTTTACCCGGTTTTGAACGCAAAACCCATAACCCATAAGCCGCGCCCAACTTAATCCACCTCTGCACCAGTACCATCAGCCCGCTAACAATAAATTGTACCCGGTTTCGGACGCGAAACCCGCAAACAATTTAACCCGGTTTTGAACGCAAAACCCATAACCCGAGCGCGATTTGGCCCACTTTTGTACACCATAAACGCCCTACCCTCAAATAATTGTACCCGGTTTCGGACGCGAAACCTGCAAACAATTTTACCCGGTTTTGAACGCAAAGCCCCAAACCCGAATTTTTTACCCAATTTTTTACCCGGTTTCTAATATACGAAACCCGAAACATTTTTACTCGTTTTGACTACCTGGACTTATATACTACCATGGGACAAATATAAATTCCCCCAACTCCTGTCGCGGCACTCTTGTCTCTTTCCAGAGGCTGTAACGCACTTAAATTCAACACAAGTAAGCTGGAAATGGGCGAATGCCGTGAAAGTTAAAAATTAAAAGTTAAAACCTATATATTCAATGAATCATTGGGTATTTATTTTATTTTATTAAATTTTAAATTAAAGTATCTATTCGCTTGAAGTACAATGTTCGCAATACCAATCTATATTAATTAATTTTATTGTAGTCGATCGGCGTTCGCTCGTTTTCGCTTACGATGTGGATTAGGCCTACCGGGGATACCACAATAAAAAAAACGCGCCACGTGTAATACCTCATGCTTTTAAACAACACGGATTATATGATATTATTTATATTATCTTGTTGTTTAACAAGTCAACAGGTGGTGTGGAATTGTACACAATCTTGTCGTACATCATAAACAAAGTTGCGATAATATATTATATTAAATTAAGCATACGGTATACCTAATAGCAGGGCGATTATTTTATCGGTAAACACCCGTTTCAAATAATTATTAAATATCAATTCGATAATATTATTCATATCGACACATACGAGACGTATTGACGTATTTTGAAGCACTACAAAACAATTACAGCTAAAATCATCCTACATTAGGTAATAGGTATATCATAAGCCTACGAATTGTTCTGATCGATCGAGCATTGATTCAATATTTAAGAATCGTTTATTTTCGTTTGTCGAACGTAAACATAATATGATTTTTTTCTACAGACCACAAGCACTGCATAATTATTTACTCGACACATAAGTAAAACACTGCAGTCATCACTCAACAGCTTTCAACACGCTAGACGAGTAATTAATATTTTAGACCAAAATATAATATCGATTTGATTTCTGTAATTGTATACTATTATAGTTCGAACGATCTCAATATATTTTAGAATTCTTGGTTATTATAATTATTATATGATATTATGATCAACATCGGAAAAAATCTATTTCCTGCTTGGTCCAACTTTCCAAACATTGAAACATTACACTATGTACCTACATACTACGTAGTACACAACCTGCATTATAATATTATATAATATGTGTGTGGCCTATGGCCTATCTGTTATAGTAAAATACGTGAAAATGTTTATACATTATACTATATTATCATTGTTAAATTTTGAAATCCAACGTCCGAATTCCGAATGTATGAATTTAAAGAGGACGAGTGAACACACAACCGATATACAAACCATAAACCATCAACCAATGTACTTATATTAAAATTTATAATTTACTATATATCCCGACCGTTCGAATAGTTCGAAGTCCAATAGGCATGACTGCAACAATATTCGCTCATCCAATGAACGGTGTGGTGCGAAATAAGAATTACCGGTATTTAACCGGAATTTGCAAACGCCCATTTATATGACGTGCTTACGAACTACCTTTTAGATTCTGAGTGAAACGATGAATGTATTGATTTTACAATGATGTGTGTTTTTTTGATGTGTAAACATCTATGCTATCGGTTTGTAGTACGACCTTCTTGGGGAATCGAGCGTCAGGCGTAAGTCATGTAGATGTGATTGCTTGAGTGTGTGTGTGTGTGTGTGTGTGTGTGTGTGTGTGTGTGTGTGTCGTCGCCATAGCGCTAAAATCGCAGAACCAATAAACCAGGCGAGTTGCTTATCTATTATTTTCTTTGTTATTTTCACGAGTCTGGTAGGTGCGAACGCGCTCTGGTACAGTCGTCGGCCGATTCATTAGTATTATTAATATTATTTATTATTCTCGTTTACGTATACTCGCGAAACCGTGCTTGTATCGTATAATATGTATTATACAAATTCCCACCCAAACCATGACATTATATTCCCCAATCAAAGTCGTACTACAGCTAAGATGTTTACACATCATTCGTGAGTACAAAGGCACTCACATTTTCGTATACAATGATATGATATCATTGAATTCAAATTTAAAACAACCCATTATACAGTTACCAACTTGTAACCTACTATGCAACAGAGCGACATCCACTTACCGGCTTTTATTTTTATTTTTGTGTCTGTGTACACGATTAGTAGTCGAAATAATGCTTCGATTTTCAACTTCAGTAACTTGTTCGATGGGAAAGTGAATCTAGTTGGTACTTTTAGGAGGTCAAAATTTATAATTCCCAATAGTTTTCACAAGCGACAAGATTAACAAAAGAAAAATTAAGGAAAAACGGGAATTTCAACGCAAAATCGATTTTTCACAAAATTGAATTTGGTTTTTGGTGTAACTTTAAAACAAATGACCGTAGACACTTGAAATTTTCACTGGTTGTTTATATTTTAATTTTCTATACACTATATCATTTTCAAAGTATTTTGATTTATTTTGAACTGTTTAGGGACATTTTCATTTTTTTTTAGTTTTTTTTCTAAAGATACCTATCAATGAAATTTTATTTGTTAGCTGAAAAAGCTTGAAAATTTAATAGAAGGCTCCTAGTATATTGTTTCAAAGGCAGATGAAAAATATTAAAAATCCTTAGTCACACCTTGAAAATAAGGGGTGTATGGGTATAATAACAAAAAATAATAAACTTGAAATATGTTCATAATTAATCACAGATTATATTGGTTGATACCTTAATATTTACTAATATTATCAATACAAATATGATAAAATGTATTAAATAATATAATTTTGAGTCTTAAGGGGGTAGGTGGGTGGGTAAAATGTTTTCTTGCTACACCTGAAAAATATATCTTGGGCGCCACTGTTCCTTTCATCTGGAATATTATTTAACACGGAATATTTGCAGGAAGTATAAACTATTATAACAAATAAAACACTAATTGAATAGTGTGAAAAATAATACCAATGACAAATAAACGCATACCTGATACGGATATACCAAGTTATCTAATTTTATTAAAAACAGAATTAAGTTGGGAAACGTTTGCATTTTTAAATTCTTAAAGTACACCCGATGTCCTGGGTTTTTTGAGCAGATCTTATTGTAATTTCGGCATATAACGATGGGTGTTTGTAAACAAGTCAATGTCAATGTAAACATTGTAAACCGATCTAAATCTGTATTTTTATAACCCTCTTATAATACAATTTACGTGTATTGCAAAGTGTATTAGTATACCTAAGAGTGTATAGTGGATATTATTTTAAAAAAAAATTTTCCAAACTCGCAGGTCTTCAAGTGAAAAAAATCCGAATAAAATATTAATTTTAATCGTTAGATACAATAATATATGATTATTGATTATAATACATTTTTGATATGGTAGGTCACGCCAACATCTCATAATAATTTCACAACGATCTAAGAATATCTGACATAAGACCTTCCATTTACTACTTACGAGCCTCCCCTCTAAAAACGAACGTCATTCCAACAACTTCACTCAAATGTATACTTCAGGTTAACCCAGTCAAACGCCTAAAATGTGAAAAACCCAGAGATTTTCTCAATAATCTATTCATCGTTACTTCTATTTTAATTTAATTATACTCACGTGAACAAGCTCGTTTCTAGTGCGAAACTTCTTCACCTTTCTTCACCGTTCTGTCTAAATAAATCATAGTTAATATTGTTTGCTCAATGCGTGCTCAATAGTATAGATACAGTTTGTAAAATATAATGATAAGTATAAAAAAATTTCAGTTTTTTGATAATACCGACTGAAAAATAAAAA